ATACTTGTTAACCTAGGTTCGCACGGTGATAGAAAAATGCAATATCTATTTTCAATCGTGACACCTAATATCATGATAGACGATAGTATCATATAATGTACCCCAGGGAGCCAGTTAAAATCACGAAAAATAAATAAACAGTGATTATAAAAACGGCGAAATGTTTTGACATCGAAAACAATAATATGGATAAGTAGGAAATTCTTCTCGTAGATATATTATAAAAAAATTACGTGTGTAATGTTACTTACACGGTTACATCTAAATAGAATAATTAAAATATCATGTTATTTTAGATACTGTTAATCTTGAATCACGTAATAAAGATAATTGCTCGGTTAGGCCATTACCGAATTCGTAGTCGTACATAATATTATAGTCTAAGTCAAACAATCAGTATTGTACCTGTCATATCCAAGTAGTTATAATTCGTATATTATATTATATAAATATACCTATTTGTTTTATAAAGTGTGTAAGGGTAACACAAAATATTTCGAACTCATGACCCTGTGTTTGGGTTTTTTTACCACATAGTAATTTACACGCGAGCACACAACACATTTCTCTTTTTTTTTTTTAAATGCACTCTTCGTTTTTGAGTTTGGACTTTAATTAAATTAATTTTCTTTAAATAACTTTGACTTCTAAAGTTTTTTTTTGATAATCCTTTTTAGGGCATTATAAATACACCAGTTAGGTTATTTCTCGTTTAACTCCCCCCCCCCCCCCCCCCGCTGCATACCACTACAAAAGTTATGTTAAGTGTATATTGCACTGACTAAGATGTAATAACTATATTATGACTTATAATAATAGATATTGATTATTGACAAACGAATAAATGATAATATATATAATAATAATATAATAATATAGGTAGCAATTGTAGGATTACAACGTTTATCAGATAAATATACGGCTATAATAAATCGCGTGGGGATTATAAGCTAAAATAAAATTTTATACAGCTCGTGTTCAACGAAGTACGTGCAGGATTGTACAACTTTATAATACAGCGGCGGTAGTCGTAACCACACACACTTTGAAGAAAAAAGTCGTCGTACACTGTACACGTCGTAAATCTGTACACTTCTATAACACATCAATATGGCACAGTTCTCCACGAAATCACACCGTTAAATACCGCTTACAGGTACACTATAATATTCGTTATACATCGATAACGAACACATACATCTAAAGTTGCATTGTTGTTTAGAACCACACACCGGACACATAATTTAATGAAAATTCGTAAAGATACATCTTTTAGGACTATCCATACAAAATACACTATTAATAAGCCTTTGATTTTAAGAAATTAAATGTCTACTACCGAGTATCAACGGAAAACCATCGTAAGTCGTAACGACCATATAAGCGTACTCGCGTCTCGTCTCGACTTCGCACGGTGTAATACGAGTTTCCACAGCCAATAAAGGTGCGAAATCAATAAGTTACCATAAATATGCATGTATATAGGCATCGACTTTTTAGTAAAAATTATAAAATTCCGAGAACACTCAAATTCGGCGTTACAATATTAAATCATGACGTAGTGTTGTGGTGAGAAGAATACATTCAGATATAATTATATCATAAGACGTAATATATTCATCAAAGGGATTGTAATGTTTAAACACAACCGCGAAGAAAAATACGAAGTTAAGACAGCCTCAAAAGAAATTCGTTCTGCCGTTAAACGTAAACCACGATTAAATGTAAATATAATATGAAAAACCTACGAAAATTACAAAGCAATAATAATTAAACATGTGTTCAGCTGGAGTGCAGATAAATATTGATGCTACACGAGACAGAATAATTATTATACGGAAACGTTTCAAGCACACCACTATACCGCGTTACATACATGATGTGCAAACCAAAAGGAATATCGTTGCGGTTCGCGGGCTCTGTTCGAGACACAATAATAGCACATAGAAAAAAAATAAAAATAATAATATGATGTTTGCAGAGCAGGTCGGTCCAGGGTCGACCTAAAAATCCGAATAAACACGCGATAAACGCACCACCACGGCCGGAGAGTATTCATCGGATGATCACCGCTTAAAACAAACATGTTTTTCGCTGGCGCGGCACCGCGCCTAACGGGTAATGTAAAGTTGTCTAAGCAAAAAGTAAGCATTCGAGAAAATATATAAAGTATTGCGCACAAGTAAGTATAAGTAAAGCGTACTCGCGAGCAAACATCCGGCGAGTGTGGACGTGTGTGCTTGTATATGTGTATATATGAGAACGATATACGCACCTATACATGTGCGCGTGCGCGAGGGTGTGTGTGTGTGTGTATTGCAGTAAGCTTTCAAACTTTGTATAATATTAAGACAAATACGAACATTTTTAACGAACGAATCAACAGCGGCAGTAGAAATACTACTGTAGTTTTTGGCGAGTTTTACGGGTTGGTGTAAACAAATAATAATAGTAATAACAATAATACTTCTACGGGAAAACTCAGAGGCGGTAGCGAAAAACGTATACAACAAAAGACGAGGGGCCTGAACAAACAAACTACTATGCAGCAGCAGCAGCAGAGGCAGAGAAAAAACATATATGTATATTCATTGCCCGTCTCCTGCTGCCACCTCGTCGAAGCCCTGGCTGTGCCGCCAATGTACCGCAGTAGTGAGTGTATATATAACTTTGTTGTGTATTATGTTTGTCGACGGACTGTGAATAAATAAAGAACAAGTTTTTAGAGTTTCTGCGGTGATGCGACGGAAAACCGAGTTCGTATTATATACGTGTTTTTATTGTATTTTCATAATATAGTACCAGCGCGCGGCCACGGCGAAGTATACACTTTACTAGCGGTAAAGATAAATACAACTGTATTGTGGTTTAAATTATAAAATAATAATATTTCTATATCACATACGAAATTGAACTTTTCCGTTTATGCATAAAATCTCAAACAACACTAAAATTGTCAATGATTGACTTTATTTTCTTCGGACAAAACCCATGGGTAACATTTTAATTTTAAAAGTGGGCCACCGTCATCAGATAAAAAAAAAGTAAAAACAAATATTACTTTATTAATAACTTTACTTTTATTCAATTTGAATTCCTTAGTTTAACTTTCCTTCTCGAAATATTACTCTTGTAAAGAAATCAAGTTATGTTGCATCAAAGGACGGACTACCTACTCGATTTTTTTACAAAAAGTATTTTTCTATTTGATATATAAATATCTGTGTAATATAGAAGAAATAAATTAATAACCTTAACCATAGACTATGCATTTTATATGAATATATTACATATTTGTAATATTATTATTAATATAGTAAAAATATTTTCACCGATTTAAAAAATTCAGATCAATGCAATCTGCCAAAATGAATGGGATAAACATCGAAAAAAAACAAATTCCAAAGTCAAGTGAAATAACACGAACAATATACTATAGCCTATCAGCTATAACTCTAGAAAATACCAAATAATAGTAAACAGATTTGGTCATACCAAAGAAACAGTTGAACATATTATTATGTAACTACTATCACAGTACGTAATCGTAATGTCTCCATTACGAACAGGAAAGAATAAAAACAAAATTCTAGACCAATTATATTATGAAATCATTGGACCATAAAATATCGAAATGACAAAGGGAATTTTAAGAATTCAGTATTTAGATATTAAGAGAAAATAAAGTAAATAATTGTAAATACAGCTGATAGGCATTGTTTTTGAAGCTTATAAACTCAAAAAAAAAACCAACACATGTTTTTTATGTTTTTTAAAAACATTTTCATAAGAAATTAGTCGTTTAAAATGGTGTTAAATATTGTCACTTCATCAAACTTTGTACCTACTACAATTTTATAAAATATTTAAAAAAATATTGCATTATAATAATATGATACTGTTAATTCATAGGTAATCCAAAAATAAATAACGTTATTATGTTGGGATAATATAAATATGCATTCAAAGTTAAACTAAGTATAATTCACAAGCATTACAAAAACATTAGGGTAAAGTTTATGTAATATTATGTTGTATCTTGTATCATATTAGTCGTATTTATTTTGGTAGGTAGAATGTACATACACAATATGGTTGACACCTGCATATTACAAAATTGCCTTCATACTTACAGTATTTTGATGGTTTATTATTTTCTAAGTTCAAGAACATAAGTTTTAATAGCAAAGGAAAAGTTTACGTCGATGAACTTCTTTTGTATGTCATTCAATTTATATTCCTACTATATACTTGAACTTTTAATATGATATTAATTTTGTTCTTCGATGTTGTTTCAAAAATATTAAATAATAATTACATTTTATAAGCATCAATAGATAACAGTATATCGTATATGAATAAGTAGCTTTATAAAATGTTAAGTAAAAAAATTGCTTCAAACTATTGTTTGGCTTAATATTTAAAGATATTATATAAAATTTATATTATGTGCGCAGGTAGTACCTAAATCAAAAAATATTACTGTCAGTATTAAGTCACAATATTAATTGTTAGACAGACGGACAGAGGATTGGTAGTTTATTATTTCATAAATCAAACATGACACATTTCATATTTTAATTTCAATTTACTCACAATTTATTAACATAATCGTAGGTATCAATCAATTCGTTTTACATGTACAAATTTTTATATTGTTTATTTAATGCAATATGCGACCTACCTATCTTATGGCCAATATAATTTGCAGAACTTACACATCAATGTAAATTCAGTAGGTAGTTCCTTATTATTATTATTTATTATTTTTATCGAATCGTATTCTTGTTATTATTATTTTTAAGAATAATAATATAATATTACAAAAGACTAAGGTCTTCTTATTTTATTATTGTTTAGAATATTATCTTTATGCGTATAAAGTACCTATACTTATATAAGTGTACATTATACTTTAACGAAACCCAAAATTGTGTGCTTTATTGATATTAAGTAGGTAGGTGCAATGGAATAATATTTTATATTTGTTTTCCATGTAGACACCAGAAATAGTGACAGACAAAGATGAATTGGTCGTGACCACGAGTATTCTAAGTTTCATACTTTGGGGTCCAAAATCTGCAGTTATTAATGAAAATGACGACAACGAATCAACTTTAGTTTGTCATGCATACAATCCGGTCATCAAAACGTTTGACCGCCATTACGTGGAAACCAAAATAACGTTGGATGTTCAATGTAAGTTATTAATAACATAATATTATGTAGAGTACATATCTATAATATATGTATAGATATAATTGGCATACCAGAATATAAAATACGTATAAAATTAAAAATTAATTTTAGTGTAATGGAATATAATAAACAAATAACGTAATACGTACCTATGTAACCTATGTTTTTCTAATTTAGAATCCTCTTTTGAACTCTGTAAATTATTTAGCGCTTTTACTGATAATTTTTCTGAAAATTTTGACGTATTAAAATTAAAACTCAAACGAGTAGTTTTTCAACAAGCTATTAAAATATTTATACCTATTAAAAATAATAATCCTTAAAAATGGTTTTACAATAGTATAAAATATATGTTATTTCAGATCTAGTATTTATTATACTTGAACCATTTTTATAAATTATAAATATTGATGGATTAATATAAATTACTATAAAATTTTATTACCATTGCCACCACATATCTTCCAACCACATTATCCTTTGTACACAAAGTTTAAAAATTCAAAAATTACTCCTTCGAAGTCGACATTTTGATGAAGCCAGAAAAATGATCCACTAATTAATAATATATAGTAGACAATGGCAGATCTCATTTGAAAAACAAGAGCTTGTATCACCACAGGACAATAATTAAGTAGTATAAAAAACTACAAGATTTTAAAAATATTATTGTTTTCAAGTATATTGAGTATTTCAAAATTTTTATAATCAAAGTTTTCATACATTTTTTTATTTAAAAAAATGCTTGGCGAATGGCGAGTCACTCTATATAACTAATTATTACAAACGTATTTTATTTCTATTATCTGCCAAGGATATTAATTATTGACATTGTCCTCGGGATTTCATTTAAAAAACCCATGTAATTTATAAAGTCAATAAGGATACAAATAAATATGACTATAAAAATTAGTAAAGTTGATAAGTAAAAAAGTATTATGTATATACACTAAATATAGTATGATGTATGAGGTTAGTATCTTAGTTACTTATATAATAATTAAATAATGTGTATTGTGCATAGAGTTATACACAACTCAAACTTACACCTCCGCACTATGATGGCTTCTAAAATGTTGAATAAACTTAAAGATTTTTATGCGTCACTGATATCATAGAACCTACCAACCAGGTAATCTACTAGTTTTGTTAAGTACACTGGATTGAAAATGTTATCTGATCTGCCAGTTAAAAAAAAACGAAATTGATCCATATAGTCTCAAGGTTATAATAGATTATTCATTACACCCAAAATATGAGTACACAATATTCCCAGCTTCAAGCAAGGTATTCACCATAGAAATTGTAAAAATTGTAAATAGTAAATAATAAATAACGCCCAGATACTATAATGTGTGCATATTGTAGTACAACACTTAAGATAATAATATGGAAATATGCATTTATAATAAAATATTTAGTATAGGAAATAATATTATGTTAATGTGCAAAAGAACAAGTGTGTAAAATGGTTATAGCCTTTTGCTTTCATAATCTCAATCAGTAATATACAAATAGTGTAGTATTTTCCTGTATAATATATTATTATTGAAGTAACTGACTATGTATATTTTATAATGTAGGTACCTAATTATATTAAAATCGAATAATAAAATGTAATAATACATTTTCATTACAATATAGGTTGTTATTCGTGCATTTATATTATATCGTTATTGTTTTGTGTTATTGTGTTATTTTTTCAAGACCCTCCGATAGTAGAGTTAAGATTTGGAAATCGTATGCTGGACACCGGACGTATTGGTCCTGGAGATGACGTGTATTTCGAATGTGCGGCTCGAGCCAATCCGTCAACTACCATCCGTTACAGTTGGTACCATAACGTGAGTAATCGATCTTACTGGTGTTTATTTGAATTGTACGTTTCGATGTCGTACTATATATTTTGGCAATAAAGTATAAACGTGTTAATAACAACATTATATAATATCTTCAGATTCTATATGGTGTACAGTAAAATGTTACTGTTTTATACACTTGCCTGTAAACTTTTTCAACTCAATTTAAAATTAAATATAGGTGGGTACTGAATTGTGTGCACGTTCTAAACCGTCGTCTGGAGTCATTTTAATGTAGTTGAATAATTTTTTTTCTGAATATAGGTACTTCACGTTATTGGTTATTGGTTAATAGTGAAAATAATAATTATTACTGACATAATATTATTGAATTTTTTACGTTTCGAAGAAAAAATTAAACATTTATGAAACTTTTCAAGTTTAAAAAATATATGATAGCAAATAAAATAAATATCAATTTAAATGTAGTTAATTATTTCTAATTTCAAAGTTTGAATTGTTGTATTCTAAAACGATTCACTCTATATTACAAAGTTTTAGTTATCTTTCAAAGTTTGAGTAAGTACTTATTAAATAACCACGAATGTGGATTCCTTAAATGTATTCACCATTGTTAGAATATGAAACAACATTAATCATGGATTACAATTTTAAGTAATACATGCATTGAGTTATAAATGGTAACAAGGTAAAGATAAGAATAAATAATATAATAACATCGATGATAAATTAATACATTGTATTATAATTTAAATAGCGCCCGTGTTTTAAATTTTAATACATTGGAGAAATATGAATAAGACATAAGTATGAATAACTATTTACCTATTTGGTTTGTATAATATTTCGACAGCTTAAAACTTCAATTAAGCACACCAAAAAATTGTGTGATAAATAAATTAAAAGCTTAAACAAATCCAAATACACCCCATACACATTCAATATAAAAATACCCAACAATTTTATTCTTAAATCAAAACATAATAATCAGAAAAAACAATATCATAATATTATGCATTCAAAATTGTATAACATACCATATTAGTCAATAGAGTATGTGTAAAAAATAATGATAATGGATGTATTGTTTTTTTTTTAAGTACTTTGGCTATTATTAACATGTGAACGCTAAAAATATAGGGATGAAATATGATTTAAAGGGTAGGGAAAAATGGATGTCCTCAAACACAAGTATTATTATTTTTCCATGCCCGCCCCAGGTCCTATCGTTGTGGGAAGATTTATTATTTATACCGTAAGAGTAATTTTGTAGTTGTCATCTTTACTATATACTAACAATAATTCTCGGGTGGTAGATATGAAAAGGATCATTTACAAATGAAAAGCATATTATAGAACCATCATCCCATATTATATTATATGTATTATTGTGAATACACTTGTCTCGCTATCTTTTTTATTTATTTTTTTTTCTCAAGTTCTCATACACGGTTTCTATTATATGGGCCAAAACGGTAGAGGGAAATGACAAATCACTTGCTTCGCGTTGATAAATAATATAAAAGTATACACTTAAACAATCACGGTAGGTATAAGAATTGACACACGCTATTCATACTACCTACCTATAGGTGTATGCTATATCCTATATACGAGACCTACATGGTAGATAAAAAAAAGACAACAACGTGATCACCGAGGATGAAAAAATAAAATAATACTACAAAACCCTCAATGGTGAAAAACCACAACAACACTATATTACACACCTAATAAACCGAGCTCCCGATGATTTATCGTTTCTTCGAAATGTAAACAAATAAAATAACACTTTATCGCATGACTGGAAATAAATGAGTTAGGTACATGCTTACAAAGACTCAGAAAAGTATCTATTATACATTTATCCTATTGAAAAACACTAACTTTTAAATTGACAAGTTACTTTTTCCCCTAATGACTTTTAAATTTAACTCGTTACTGCATACTAATATTGAGAATTATAGAAACGTATTTAGTTCCCGTTACGTGGTTTTCAAATGTAGCTTATTTGAAAAATTATAATTTAACCAAATTTACATTTTCTGAGACCCTACTGAGCAAATAATACTAAAACTAAAACTGTAATGCAATATGTAACATATATTATTAAGACAGTACTCGTAAAACAGTTTCTCTTTGCTATTAATCATTACGAAATATAGTTACTTTTATTTTAACAATTATTTGAAGTTCACAAGTTGATTAAATATTACACTCCAGCCTGCAGTCAACGTACCTACCTAATGATTACAATTTATATTGTAGAGACGAGACACATTATTAGTGATCCAATCACTAAGCAAATACGTTGTATAATAATTATTAATGGTTATAAATTTAAATTATAAATTTTAAATGTTACTATTATTTCATTGATTTATAATAATATATTTATTGCTATAAATAGTAACTTAGATCAGTATAAATATTTAAATGGCTTTTTTTTTAAGTAGCCCAGAGAAAGTTAATATTTTCCCCTCGAAAATAATAACTCAACAAATTACTATTTTTTACAACTTTTAAATTATTTTAGTTATATATTTACAGTCAACTAGTCGACTTTAAGGTAATTGACTAGGTACTCAGTTAAATAAATTGAGTAGGTAGATAACTAATTTGCCTTACTTTATTGGTTTTTGCTATGATGAGACAGTGGTGTACCAAGGAGATTATTCACTGTGGGTGGGAGGTTTTATAAATAAAGTAAATAATGAAAATTAGATACCGCAATAATTTTAAATTCTGAGAGGAGAGTTAAAGAATATATTGATTTTACAATAATGAGTGTTTTATAATTTTTTGAATCTAACCTTTTAGGACAGTGAAATAGTAAAAATGGTTCAATTTTTTACTTCAGCTTTATTTCTGGTAAAAAAGTGAATCTATTTGGCACTTAAGGGGGTAAAAACCAAAAAAAAAAATTCCCAGTAGTTTTCGTCGGGAAAATGTCAGGAAAACCCAAAGAATAATTAAGGAAAAACAGGGATTGTTGTGTAAGCCCAATTTTTGACAAAATCGATTTGGTTTTTTGATGCAAAAACTAATGACAATAGATAGTTTAACATTTCACCAAATGTGTACATGATAAAGTTTTCAAAATATTTTGACACTTTTTGAGCTATTGAGAGACATTTTCAATTTTAATTTTTTTTTTCTATAAATATCGATATAAAATTTTACGATGTGTCAAACAGCTTGAAAATATCTAATACAAGCTTCCTCATAAGTTTTTGTAGATTATAATTGCGTCTCAAAAATATTAAAGATATGTAGGATTTTGTTTTTATAACATTTAAATTTAAAATGTTGACGAAACTCATAAAAATTATTCACTTTTTGTAGCTAAGGATTGAACATTTAAAACTATGGATGAATGGTTCTTATAAGTAGATCATACTGTATATGAATATCTAAGAAATATATTTAAACATGGTTTTAAAAAAAAAGTTCACATTTGGACGAAATTAGATGTCTTAACGAAGAATAATAATTCTAGTTATTTTGTTGAGATTTATAAATATTATTTGTGAGTAGGTACTTGAAACTTTTAAAGTATATTATTATATTTTATACACACAATGATATTTTCAAATTCCGTTTTTTCAGCAAAAATGAATTTAACCTACTTTACCTACTCTATTACTAATGTTTAATAGTAAAATAAATTACAATAATATTATAAAATATACTGACGGACCGCCTTCGCTCTGAATCGTTTTTCGTAACTATGATTTTATATCATTGAATTAAAATTTAACACATCCATTATAATGTCCCATATGACATAATGTACAACAGAGGGATACGCACTTGCTACCTTTTTTTAAATTTAATTAATGTCACCTATAATATGCTTAATTATTTAAGTAGGTACCTACTGTTTTTTTTTGAATTGAATATATTATTTAAAATTAATTAACATTTTGTTACCAGTTATAACAACAATAAAACTAACATCTAAATCCAACAAAACAAAAAATATAGTTTTAGTGTTTCATAAACTGAATAGGTAATTGTATTTTCTTTTTACATGCCAATAATTTCAAATAAGTAATAACTACATAATTTTATGTATAGGACATCGGTAATTAGTATTAATTATTAAAACTTCTACATGTTTAATACCTATCAGTAGTTAACATCATAACCATTCCCACATGTTTCTTGTTCTATGAATAGGTACTAAAATACTCGTTCTACCGTATAAAGACCAACATTATTATTAAATATTAAGACTAAAAATCGACCTAAGCTACTATATCGCCTACTAGAAAGTAGTGTTAGTGTTAGTAAAACATGTTTTTAAAAATTTATAGAAATTAAATTATTCACTAATGATATTATATGCGTAATATCCACTTAAATGAAAAAAAAAATGTAATATATTTACTTTGAAGTATACCGACACATAATAATTATCAGACCACAATACTTGAACACTGACTAATCATATATTATAGGTATATCTTATAGTATGTATAATGTTTATTGTATATTGTATATAATCATTTAATGTAGATACCTACATAATGTAATTTACATTCAGTGGCCTAGACTCCGAGGATAAATCTAATAACAATTATAAACAAATAAATATGTTTAGCTATTTTGCAAAGAATGTATAGATACATTATACATATTTTAAACTAAACACTGGTTGTAACTACATAATCAAAAATATTTAAGTACCATTTGACCACACCTCGTTGAGCCTTGTATAGGTACATATAGATTTGACCGGTACAATTTTGATATTAAAAATTAGTGATCTATTCTCATCACCTCCAAAACGGTGAGCAATTCGCTATTCACACACAATTTCGTACAAAATACATATAGCATAATATTTTTTATTATAATTTATAATTTTTTTTTTTTATTCTTGAACAAAACGCTTCCACGCCAATTGTTATTAGCGTACAGTTATGTGATTACATTATCTTTTTTGTAACTATTTTGCTAAATTAAATTATATAAGTAATGCTGACGTTTAAAAAAAATGTATTACTTTGATGTTCGCTTCTTTGTCGGGTCCCTGGATTTTGGCTATTTGCTCAGGTAGACCATTTTCTTTTCTGAGGTCTTCGTATTTTAAACATTCAGTTAGAAAAATATGAATGATATGATATTTTGTAGGTGTTCCGCATGTGGTGCATACTGGGGGGGTCTTCCTTGGCCATTAAGAAGCCAATTTCTAAATTCATAAGTTATAACAAATAACAATCAATTTCTTGTAATGGACATCATAAAATATAAGGCGTAATAATGACTATACAACCTTATTCATAGTTATTCGTTATTAAGGCTAACGATTTATTTACTCGTCTAATAAATACGATTAGTTGAATTAATTTGACGCGTACCTATAGTTTCTACCTCCTGAATAATTAAAATCAAATTAAATCATGAATAGAGTGTAATAATTCAATCCATTAAATCTTCTGCGATTATATTAATAAATAACTAATGAAAAATCCTAAAAGAAATAAACAAAACAATCATTAATAATATTATGGTTTGAAAACAACGAAAAAATTCGTACGTTTTCGTAATATAGTATCTATAATTCTATACCTATATCATTCGCCAATAAAATTCTTAATAATTATATCAACGCTTTTCCCGATTTCGTCTTATTAATGTCGTCCAATTAGCCTATCGGCTATCAATTTGTTCGTTCACATTTTTATTCGATTAATTTATTCATGTCAATGGCGGTTATTTGTAGGCGATAATCAATACATATTATTAGTTTATGCTACCCATCATTATACGACGTAATGGCGGATTTGCATCGAGTTGAGATTATTAGCAATCGATAAATTATTGCGTCTGCCACAGTGTATAATAATATTATATACATAGAAATTCGAGAAAACGCTCGAGCCTGCAGCTTGACGCAATCAAATTTGTGGTACCTACCTATAAACCATTAACGTATAGTCGCGTATTATTCGGCGCACGAGGGCTGGCGTGTGTTATCGATGGCCATGTGTATACACAAGAGGTACCCAGTACCCACATAATGTATTATCAGTACCTACCTACGTACATGAAGTACTATGTCAAACCACTCTTAAAGTAAATTGCTTTAAAATGTATTGTACAACACGATCATTCAGATCTAATTTGTTTTCACCCGTCATTGACTGTCTCCGTTGCCGACAACCGCTTTGTGCGCTATATAGTTTGAGCTAATTATACACGTTACGTATATAATATATTCCTGCCTACATGATGAAGTGTACCCCCTTTTAATTGCGACTTATAGGGTGTTCGGCTGACGCAAGAGACGGAGAAAAGGCGGACGGACGACGGCGAGAAAAGAGGCGAAAAGAGGAACAGCAGACTGGCTGGTCGAGTTATACAGTACAGTCAGCTGGGCAGTTTGGTTTTGCAGTCAGTGAACACCGCTGCGGCGGGAAAATATTCGTGCCAGGCGACAAATGGCATCGACGGCGATAGCAACGAGAACAAAACCACCAGCAATACTGTTCGGTTGTACGTGAAACGTGAGTACAATATGATTATTATAATATTGTTAAATTTTTTATTTTAATCACTCGATTAACTACGAACAGTTCGCAACAGTATAGGTGGTAATGTTATATGTAATGTTTTATAATATATTATATACCTACAAACTGACAGCCGTTGTGTTGCACACGAAATATATAGGTACCTGCGTAAAAAAAAAAATAAAGATATCAAAATATTTCGTCGGAAGTGAAAAGTAATACAGTGTTCAACACGACAAGTATATTATTATACGAACATTTGTCGTATAGCTATATTTATTAGTTATGTGTTTGAAATATTTTTCAAGCTAACGATATTCTTAAATCAGCATTATAACAAATATGATTTTATCGACTTTATTGTTTTCAATAGGTATTTTACTATATCTCAATAATAATATAAAATTAATAATTATGATATAAACCTATGTAGTATGTTTAATATTTATAATAACTGTTTGTCGAATAAATTCGCAAGATGCTTTGTATGTAACTTTTGACTCATCGAAGTATGTTTATTTAATCAAATATTTATATTTCTAATTCTCAACTAGAAGTATCATTCATTTTGAACTCTTAAAAACAGAAAATAATTTACTCAAATACATTTTATGAATTAGCTGTCTACATATAAACAGTCATTGCTTGAATTGATTGAGGGCAGAGTCCCTCTTTAAAAAAACAAAATGTTTATGGATACCGCTTCTAATAATATCTTCACCAATAAGGCATTTAAATATTCGGGTGAACACTTTCTTTTTACACTTTTGAATCTCCCTTCAATTTTTTACCCAATTCGAGCACTGAAATAGCGGTAAACACTAAAGTTGAACTATATTTTAATAATTGTATGTTTTTTATAACCGTGAAGATGTCCCGGTGTGTCAGCATCGTGAAGATATTTATATTATTACGAAAAAATCCGACGCAGTCACTGGGCCAGTGATCCGGTGTCGGGCAGGACATGGTCATCCACCGACCATCGAATACCATTGGAAATTCTATCCCGAACAATCAGAACCGGAAACCCGCAACAGAGGTCCCCTCGAGTCCAATGAAATGACTTTAACTGGGCGATCAATAAGAGAACTAGACTCATTACTTACGGAATCAGCTGTCCACGGCAGCGATGGTGGAATATCATATACATTCACCACAAGTACGCCTGTATTAAAATCGTATTTATCAGTCGTATCGGCCGCAGCTTCTGCCTCTTCAAGCGCAGTTCGTCCAAACTTTCTTCACGGTCGGCTAGAATGCCGAGCCGTCAACACAATGGGAATACAGAATAAACCCTGCGTTTATCGTATTACAGGTAAAATTAGTTGACATTAAACACTCAACATTCGTTATTTATTCTCACTAAGCAGGAAAACTCGTTTCACGAAATTATTTGCTAACCCTGATATTTAAATACTACAATCCGCAGTAGGTACTTTATTACATTGATATTTTGGTGAAAATGTTGGTATTTAAACATTTTTTAATTTATCGTCAAAATGTAAATCTTATAACCTCGTAAAAAAACCATTAGCGTTGGTCCCACTTAAGAGTTTTTAGATTTATTAATATAAATAACAGTATCAATAAGGGAACAAGTCTAGTTTACCGGGCACATTTTTTTTTTGAAATTTTTTTTTTTGAAAAGGGTTGTTTTGACGAGTTAAGAACGATGGTGCAAAAATAAAATTGCGGAAATGATTATTTTGGAAGTTATAGCTTCCCAAAGTTAACGATTTTACGTTTATACGCGTGCGCGCAACACTACTATAATGCCGCGCGGAGGATCTCGAGTTTGGCGACCGGAGGACTTTTTTAATTGTTTTTATTGTGATGGCATACCGCATACCCAATTAAATAACTATATTACTATTCCTATTATAATTATATTATTAATTACCTATATCTATTATAGATAACCAAATTACCTATAGTTAATTACCTACAGTAAGCAGGGCTGCAGTGATTACACAGTTTGCGACACTCGTCGCTACGCTCCTCGGCGCCGTCGCTCCGCTCCGCAAATCGAAAATATCCCCCGATTTGTTGTGTAAAACCACCTCAGGTGAACCTCGGTTTTCCTCAAAAATTCCCGGAAACTTATCGTTCAAAAGTTATGGAAGTTCCAAGTTGCAGTGATTACGCGTGTATCGGCACTCGTCGCTGCGCTCCTCGGCGCCGTCGCTCCGCTCCGCAAATCGAAAATATCCCCCGACTTGCTATGCAACACCACCTTAAGTAGGTTACAGGGTAAGTTATGTCGTATTATATGGGCAGTGGCCAGTGTTACACAGTTGGCGGCACTCGTCGCTGCGCTCCTCGGCACCGTCGCTCCACTCAGAAAATCGAAAATATCCATCGACTTGATATGCAACAACACTTCAAGTAGTTCACAGGGTAATTAGTAATTACTAATTGTTGTATCAGTTATCATAAAAGATAAAAACAATTAAAAAAGTCCTCCGGTCGCCAAACTCGAGGTCCTCCGCGCGGCATTATAGTAGTGTTGCGCGCACGCGTATAAACGTAAAATCGTTAACTTTGGGAAGCTATAACTTCCAAAATAATCATTTCCGCAATTTTATTTTTGCACCATCGTTCTTAACTCGTCAAAACAACCCTTTTCAAAAAAAAAAATTTCAAAAAAAAAAGGTGCCCGGTAAACTAGACTTATACCTCAATAAGTAACAGTATAAATAAGTATCCACCTAGTTAGTTAACCCAAATAGGTAGGCATATTATGTTTTATCAAAAAAATAAAAAATAAATATTTTCATTTAGTTAAACACTTTAACTTTTAACATTATCTTTTTCACGTATGTACGCCGCACCGTGAGGTTTATATTGTTGTACACTCTTAAGTCAATTTGAATTGAACACATTTTAGATTGTAACCAATGAGTAACCACAATATTTCAATTTAGTACATTTACTTTTCTATAGGTATGGAAAAATTAACATACATGCCTCTTCTTTAGGTCATTAATAGATAGAAAAAATATGTTAAAGTGCGTGGTTAGTTTTAGGTATTGAATAATTATATTGACCTTTTGGAGGTCTTTGGTTGAATATCTTTCATCCTAATATTTATATAATTATATCGTAAATTTATAAAATAATTAAGTTATTGATTTTATGAAAAGTTTAAAACCAAATAATTTAAATTGTTTTCTTAATCATTACTCAAGTTAAGATTGAAACATGTCTTATTGGTTATTGCCTATTGCTAGATAAAAAACATAGATTAGGTAATGCACAAAATTAATTAAATTACAATCTGTATTTAATTTATAACATGCTAACCTTTATTGGCTAGGTTAGTTTATAATTAATATATATTATATAAATAAATATTAGATTTAATATAACTTTAAATATGTAGGTATACTTATTAATTTGTATTTATTTGTTTTGTATAGTCAATGTATATTAAAACCCCATTAATATTTTGGTTTCATGAATGTATGAAAATGTGTATACATATTATATACTTCGTTATTGCATTCGAATAACAAACAACCCATATTTATTTTATATTATTGACATCTCAAAACAGTATTATTTATTATACTGAAATTTCGATTGTTTACTTTAATTATACTTACTAAAATTATACCTAACCTCTTATTTGTTATATGTACAGATAAGACAATGATCAATCAGGGTAGTAAAGATCTCCAAGAAATCACTGATTGTCGGTCAATATCAAAGAAAGAACTGTCCAACGAAGACTCCAATTCAACTGTGACATATCCTTGCGGTGCCAAAGGGGAAGGCATCGTCACCAGCACTAATAGAAGAACACGATTTTGCATTACTTGTTCATTGAACACGTCGTCGTTGCAGTATCATCAACAGCGGCCCAATTACGTTTTACAGCTCTTTAAGTCTACACCTGGGGATGCGCCTGCAACAGTTGTTATTGCGTTTAATGTGACCGGCGTTACCATAACCGAGAACAATAATGGAAACGGCAGGACTATTATCAGCTCACAAGACGACGATGATTACTACTCTGATCCCGAAGAAGAAGATGACGTTGTGGATAGCAATAAAGGTGATTATAATCTGGATACTAAGAACGCAGTCCAGAGAGTGGTGTTCGTAATCGACGACAGCGTAGAACCAGGAGTATATCGAGGAAGGATTTACAATGGTTATGGGGGCACCATATCTGCTGTTATCAAAGGAATGATCCACGTTGCAGCAGTGCCATTTAACGATATCAATGACAATGACAGTTCCAACTACATTATTGACGACATCGGAGATAAGACAGGTAGATTTATCTAGTTTTTTTTTGACACATTAACGTATAAAACACACGTTAATTTTAATACAATAAAATATGATGTTGGGTATTTTGATTTAACCTTAAAATATTATCAGATATATTATCATTTAGGTATCAGATATATTGTTTCTCTAAAAAACTTAAGCTTAATACTATAGTAGTACCTACCTATGTATAGCAATATAATATATAACTATCACACAACAGAAGTAAAAAGGTTAGGATCTTATATTTTTAATGGCGATATATCATATTGATTTCAGAAAATTTAATAACATAATATTGGCAAATTATTTTATTCAATCTGCTTACTTAAAATATATATACCTTACAAAATATCAGCTATATGAATAATATTGTAATACATTGCTTTCGATAATCTTTGGTGAGCAGATTTGCATTAAATTATATCAGAATTTAGCTTGTGTAATAGTGACACCTATAACTTTTTTTTCGAAAAACACGACTGATGTGCCATCGTTGCATCGTTGACGAAAATATTATTTAAAAACCTCCATAAAATTGACATGTATATGTCTAAACCTACTTCCTAGAATTATATTAATAACAGCAAATATCACAAATATAATATTAGTAAATTTATTTTTACGGTAGAAACATATAAAGGTTAATAAATATAACATAGATACCTACTACCTATATAATATATATTTATGTATATTGTATATATTACATAAGGGCCACTGTATTCTGTTTCCACAAAAAATAAAAAAATATTCATTTCCAGTTTCCGGTAAAAAAAGTTCGGAATGTTTTAAGTTTGTAGGCTGTAGTAGTGTAGTCAATGTACTGTTTACTAAGTCATATAAGGTACCTATTTGCAAAAATGCTTTCAAATTTGTAAATAAAAAACAAAAGAAAAAATTACAAAATGACCAGTACTTTTCAAAATAACCGAAGAAAACAAATTATACCGACATTTTTACAAAAAAACAAATTTTTGATAATTTGTTGTCATTTAAAATCAAATAACCGTAGATACACGAAAATTTCATCTAATTAGAATTAGAATTTTTATACATGATATAATATTTTCAGCTATTTGTAGACTTTTGAAAATGTAATATAATGTTATTCATAAGTTGTAGTTATTACTGTACCTAAATAAAAAAAGTAGTTTAACTTAAATCCATAAATATGTTTATGAGCATCTGGACTATGGAGTAAAAATGTTGACGAAATTGGATACACACGCGTAAAATACCGATTTCTCGTTAAACAATTTAGTTTTTATTATTGTAATTCAAAAAGTATTAATTATAGAAACTATTGTAACATTCTATTTACCTAATTTATCATTTTATAAACTCTAATATTTACACACAATTTAAGCAATTCTAAGTTTTCGAATTTTTTTACCTACCTAGGTAATAGTAAAATAAATTGCCATGATTAGAATAAGGGTAAGTATATCATAAAATTAAAAATATGTTTGGTAATATAAGCTGACAGTCTGTCTTTACTCAGAATGGTTTCTTGTTCCTAAGAAACGATTAATCATTGAATTCGAATTTAACACATACATTACAGTGATTTACTGATTTACTCAATGATGTACAGGAGAGTGGTGGTTACCTACTTTACCCTGTTTTATAAATAATTGTAGCTACAGGTATATTGGTACTTGATGGAATAATTAATATTTGAACTATTAATTAATAGGTATTTACTTTAATCCAATATTTCACCATGACATAATGCATTTTTTTACATTTAATTATTACTTTTAAACAAAATTACTTTCTGATAAACACACGGAATATGCGGAATTATAAAGTTATTAGAAATATTTTATTGCTGTGTACACACCTTATGATATTGTCAGTTGTTACATTTTTGCCCATTTGGTTTACAAACAATATTTAGCGGAAACTTCTTCAAAAAAATATATCTATTTTAGCGGAAACGACAGTTGAACCTTTTTCGTTTTTGGCGGAAACGACAATGCGTAAATCTAGGTACTAGTGTTTTGGTGAAATAGGACCATGTTCATATATAATTTATTATATTCTTGAACGACTTAAACACGCATATGTGTAATGCATGAATACTTGTCTTATATAATTTGTTATTAATTTTTGTTATAGTACCTATTTATAATATTGATATTTTAAAAGTAATAATAAAACAAATAAATAATAAAAATATTTTTTATTTTAATTCGTGTAGGTAGGTACCATATTTTAAGTATAAATAATTTGTAAAGAAAGTTTATGACGTAATAGGTAGGTACCAATACTAGTACATATTTATAATCAATGATCAATGATAATACTAATTCGTAGAAACACTGTGATAATTTAGTTATTTATTTTATTAATACTCAATATTTATTATCACGTTTACCGTGTCTGGGCAATATTATGATATGTATTATTACTCATACAAAATCGTGAACTATAAATGTGACAGTTAAAATAATTATACAACGAAGGAAGTGTTGAAACTAAAATATTTTAACAATGTGAAAAATTAAGCATAAACATATTTTTTACTTGGTCTACTACTACAGTTTGTGCTAAAAAAAAATTACCGCCATAAATTTACAGCGTATAGAGTGCACGCTATACGAGCAAATAGTTTCAGCATTCTCAAAAATTCCACCACCGTGTTGAAAGTGTATTATAATATATGCGTTGAAATTTAGATGAAACAGTGAAGCTAAAATCAGTTGCTGGAAAATCGAGCAACCCAAATTAAACGATTGTATAGATAACAGCTATACTATCTGTTGTTAACGCTATATTATGAACGCGTGCTCGCATACTATACAGATACACAACAACAATCATAATAATAATAATAATATATGTGTCTTAATATAAATGCACTGTGCATGAAAAATAAATAAAATATATTTATAAGAATTATAACTTTTGTCAGCTCTCGCAGGTTGAAAGGGGAAATATGAGGAGCTTTGGTGTAATGGCGTGCACACCCGACGGACCGGAAACAACCGAGATAATCCTTGTTCCTCTCTCCTAACTTCCGGTACCACGTGTATCGCTTCCTTCGTTTTCGCAGTCTTTGTGACTGTACGAATCTTTGTATAAAACGCGACGGAGGCGTTGTTGGCATAACAATATTCTGTATATTATAGCGTTGTACCCGCACACACATAATAATAATAATAGCTACTATGTGCAATCGGAAGCTGTGTTTATCGATGTGTGATTTTTGATTGTAACAACAAGTGTGTGTATTATACAAAATATGTGTGTACACGTTGCCACGTTGGTTCAAAAGAAAAGAGCATCATTTTCGTATACAGTCGACGACAACTGGAGATAGTAATCTGTTATGGGTGGTGACGGTGGTATAGAGTGTAAGTAGTGGGATGTATATATATGCTTGTATACACGTATAATATACATTATGCACCTTAACACCTTTAACACCACTGTTGCCGCCGCGACTGTCGACAACGAACGAACAGCAGTAAAATGATTATACGTGCGTTTCCGGTACGATAGACTCTTGTACAGGAGACAAGAATAAATGTTTAATACGTGAGAGATATGACTGTGTATCTGCAGGTGCACGAGATATAGAAGACGACCAGAGGCATGAGGTTATAGTATTATTATTATTATTCCACATAATAATATTATAGATGGATAGGCGATAGCGTACAGGGCCTAGGCTGGTTATAGGTATACCTACTACGTGAGTAGACATTTGTATGTACAACGAATTTATGAATTATTTTTTTTAGGTAGATATTTTACCTATGAAGATAATATTATAATACTATACTTGTTGGTTCACGGTTTAAAAATCCTGTGTAAAACTACTACCGCTATGATAGTAGGGATACCAAAAGCAATTTATAAGATTGATACCAACTATACTGTTTTGTACTTTTGTCTGTATATAGTTGGTCAAACACTTTTTACGTCTGCCGACTCGTACCTACGACAATAATGTTGCTTACCCATGATAATAATAATATTATTCCGCTGTTTTATTACACATGTCACACGCTATAAAATAAAATGATGACACAGGAAAAATATTATGTAAAGTTTTCTTTTATATCTACGCATTTGTACCTACCTACTATGACGTATAATAATAATATACACTTTATATGCAATATTATTGGTATATTATAATAAATTACTTAAGCTGGTTAACGGGCCCTGAGGTGTTTTATACTTTTGGAAAGTGTTTATAAGGGTGAACATCCTGTATTCACTGTACAGTCACTTTTAAAATATAGGTACCTACTGTAAAGGAAGAATAATAGATTATCGACATTTAATGCAGCCTTTATGTACCTATTAAAAACTCAATCGTCCATTGTTAAAAACATACACGTTTCATATAATTTGGATTTATTTTGATATTTTGTACTTATTTTTTATAGAACGGGTGAGATTTTTTTTTAAGTTTTCATATAAAATTAAAAAAACAATTACCTATATCATAGGAAAAATAAGTTCTAAAGAAACATGTCGATGGGAGTAATTCGATAGAGGTTCTTTCTTGGAATTTATGAAATCCTGAGATTTTTTGAAAATTCTCAATAATTAAAAAAGTTGATTTTTTTTTAAAAATAATGTTATAAATTATGATTAATTTGCATTTTTTTTTTTTATGGATTTTATTGTTTATATTATTTATAATTCGTTAATTTTCAAACTAAATTTACTATGTAGAAATAAGCCTTGTGCATAAAAATAGTAACTTACGTTAGTACCAATAAGTACAACGTACAACAATTTTTTTTCTTATCATGTAAAAGAATACTTTATAGTTTAAATTGTAATATTTTCTGTTGGAATCAGATGACTGTTTGGCCATTTGACTATTTAATACCTTAAATCAGAATGCATAATATACACACATAAATCTCCTCAGCAATAAGGAGTTTTAAATAGGCAATTTTAACGACACTTATAGAGAAACTTAAGTAAATTAAAATATATTTATATACATAATCTATAATGTATTTTAAATGT